GCTAGCACTAAGAATATTCAAAGACAAATTGTGCAGAGAGGAACTACAAAACAATCCCCAGAGCTCCAAATTAGAGCAAGTTCAGTTAAAGAAAAATCCACTAAATGAGAATCAAGACAGAAAAAATATAGCAAGAAAAAAAGAAAAAAAGCAAATGCAGGAAATCACAAACACAAATACATACTAATGCTGAAAGTTAAGGGTCTTAACTCCCCATTCAAAGATACAGATTAGCAGAATGGATAAACAACATGATCAAACAATAGGCTGTTTAAGAGACTCATCTTAGAGGCAAGACATCATAGGTTGAAAGTAAAAGTATAACAAAAAAAACCTGTATTCACATGATCCACAAACAGGCAGGTGTAGCTATTCTTAAATCTGACAAACCTGATTTCAAGCGAAAATTAATCAGAAGAGACAAAAAGGTCACTACATTCTAGTAAAGATAACAATCCAACAAGAAAATATAACAATAGTTAACATGTAAGCCCCAAATGTCAATGCACACTTTACATGGAAAAAACACTCTATGACAGTAAATCCCATATAGATGCCAACACAATAATATTGGATAATTTTAATGCACCCTTATTTCCAATAGACAGATCATCAAAGCATAAAATAAATAAAGATATCTCTGACCTGAACAACACTATTACCAGCCCACCATTACCACTAGGGTGGGAATTATGTAATTTCCTTTACAAATCTGGGTTCTTTTGTGTTTTCATATTGGCCCTGAAGGTGGGTAGGGTAGGGATGTAGGTACAGAATGAGGTAAGATGGCACTGTAGGAATGAGTTTTGTCTAGAGAGGGTCCTTTTTTTCCTGGGTAGCTTAAACTCAGCCTGCTGCAGGGAGCTGGTATTGAACAGTTATTTGGAGCCAGTATCAACACAGCAAGGTTTTATATTCTAGAGGTGGAAGATGGAGTGTGCCTGAGGGGAAGAATGTAAGGAATCATAAATGTGAGCAGTTTCTGCTGTACATACAGTCAGCACCTTACAGAATGTTATGCTGGTGAAGAAAGGAGGAATCCATCATTTCAGTTGCAGAGATGAAAGTTTATTACGCACCTGGCAGTCTCCCCTCGACTCCTCCACCCAGTACACTTTGGGGCTTTGTTCAAGAGAAGATGAAAATCAATCCTGGAGGCCCCTCAGTCTTGTGCCTGGAGTTTGAAGAATTTCATTGTTTTTTTAATCCAGCGCCGAAAGCTTGAGATCCTGGTGTAGACACTTGGAGGTGTCCCCTCCTTTTGCCCAAAGGACACAATGCCCTGGGCCACATTTTTACACACAAAGGGACTTCCTGAGTCTCCCTGTGGGCAGAGAAAGGACAGCCTTAGCAGGCCTGTTCCAGGTCCCATACTGTCCCCTCCCCAGGTAGGGGGCTCCAGCCTGACCCTGACTATTCCTTCCAGTTGACTGATGCTCCTTCTCCAGTAAGTCTCTGTCCATGAAGTGACCAAAGGGCAGTCAGTCTCCACTGACCCCAGGACCAGAGACTGAATTGGTGAAAGGCTTAGTACACAGGGGTATGATTAGTTCCCTTTGCCCTGGTTCTCCTCAAACTCTGCTGTGTCCAAGGCAGGGAATAGCCGACGCAGGTGAACTTACCTTAAAGGAAGCCTTCTTCTCTTTTGGGTTCCCCACACAAATCTGGGTGGTGGAGTCATGTGGTCTTTTGAAACGAGAGAGACATTCCTTGTCCTTTTGGATTTCAAGCTGTACCTCATGCAGTTTCGTTGTGGATATGTTTTGGCCAATGCGTCCCCATCCAGCCACAGTGCACACCATCCCTGGTATAACCTGGGAATTTTCTGAGGGTAACTTGAGGAGGCTCACTTCAGCATTCAGCTTGGCCTTCTTTTCCAACTAAAGGCAGATAAAGGAAATTCTGATCAACCCACCGCTCACAAAAACCCACACAGTCATGGGGTTGCCGTCTTCATGGCATTGGGACAAGTGAAGGCTTCATTTTAGGAAGGAGGGTTGGACAGAAGGACATGAGGATTTAATCCTCCAGGATTAAAGTGTGCGAGACCCATTGGAATGACATGCCTCACCTGCAGTAACATGATGTCACTGGAATAGTTGCTGTTGTAATCTGGGTGGGGGAAGGCTTTTTTTTACAGGGATGATCTGCTGGGTCCTCTCTTTCTCTTTGATATTGTGGGCCCCCAGGGTGACATTGATGGAACTGTACCAAGAGCAGAGAGGGAGGTAGAGTCACAGGGGCTACAGCTCAGGATCCCTGAAGGAAATGGTTTTTCAGGGCGGGACAGGGTGGAGTTGGGAGGACGTGTAGGGGAACAGGACTCTGGGCTGAGTGTCTCTGGCAGCCAGGGCTGGTGCAGTTCCTGGAGCAGATGGAGTGTGCTCAGTCATGCACAGAGCTCAAGTGTCTCCAGGCGAGACTCCGAAATTCTCACATATGCACTCTGGGCTCTTGGGAAAAACTAGCCTCCTTCCCATCCAGCCTTGATCCACGTTCTCCCTTTGTATAACAAGCCACCTGCACTGACCCTTTCTCCCCAGAGCTTACCTGCCCTCCACAGAGCTCTTGTCTTCAGCCCCAAAGGAGGGGAAAAAACCCTGTGGAGTTTTCTCTAGAAAGGTCAACTTACCTTCCCCAGCAGTGGGCTGCCGTTATAACAAAGTCCTCATGTACAAGGAAACCCCCACATAGTTCTGTTGTGTTTAGAGTCTGGATACGAAGAAATGCCATGTGGGGATGAGAATGAGGCACAGCTTCCCGGCCCCCAATGATTTTGCCTGAAAGAAAAGTTCTGTCCTGCCCTTGGTGCTCATGGAGCCAAAGGCTGAAGAGAGGAGACTACAGGGAGGGAAGGATTGAGTGTGGTGGTATTACCATCTAGGGGTGCGGGGTTCATTGGCCTTGATCAGCAAAGAATTGACCAACAGGATGCAGAGAGAGCAAGCAAGCAGCAGGTTTATTGCAAGAGCATCAGGCAGATTTCTCTGAAGAGAATGTCCCCAGACATTCCCAGAGCTGGGAATCTGGTGGGAGAGTTTCCCTTGTTCTTTTATAGTCTCTGAAATTTCCTTTCTTTCCTTACCCTCTTCCCTGTTTATCTTCTCCTCACTATTATTGATTGGTGTCCTATCAGTACACATATCTGTTTTAGTTTTTCTATTGGATCCCCCACTTTGGAGCATAAGCACAGAAGTGTCTCTCTGATAGGTCCCCTCCATTTGTGCAAAAGCACTTTTTCAAGCAGGAAGTTGACCTCGTCAGAAGACCCTCTCCATGCTCCTTTGTTTTGGCCCTGCCCCTGGTCTCCTCCCGTGCCATGTAGCCCTGGTTACTCAAGCCCTTATACATGTCCCTAGGGGCAGGGTCTAAGGAGCCAGCAGCAGCAAACATGGGCCCTGAGTGTTTGCCAGGCGGCATTCCTGGATTGAAGAGTGACCCACAAGACTCAGATACTCCCTCTGACCAAGAGCAGGGCAGTCCTAGCTCTGTAATTCCCACTTCAGATGTCAATGTTGACTGACAGGATTTGAGTTTGGAACAAGTAGCAAAGTTCCCACAGATCCTTGTCAGTTCTTCCTCTGAAGTGTCTCAGTCTTCTTTCCTCCTTAGATCCCACTGAGCTCCCACTGGGTTCTGCACATAAAGTCAGGATGCTGAGTCGTGTTTTATGTTTGTCTTCTGGAGACAGACACCAAGTAGGTGCCCAGTAAAGGTCTTGGCTTTGTGAGGGGATGGCTCCTGAGTATCCTGTTGCTGAGGTTTGGAGGGCAGTGCTGGTGAGATTGTGAGCACCAGGGATGATGGGTTCTGACAAAGCCATTGTACCCATCTGTAACTGAAAATGACCTGAGAGAACACGGGGCTGAATCAAGGCACATGTAACTGTTAAGGGGACGAGAATGCCCATGACTCTGAGATCAAATGGCTGCATTCCTGTGCAGTGTAAGAATGATAAAGTTTGGAGGAGCAGGTGGAGATTGAGGGTAGATATTAAGAGATTAATTTAGAAATTAACTTGACCACAGAAGCCAGCACCTTTCTCCCCTTTCTCTATGGGGAATTATTTATTTTTTCATAAGTCTTTGTGAAAGATCCTGCTTTCCAGATGGTAAAAGTAGAGCTGGGGAAGGGGAAGGTTCCCAGTGCCTCTCATGAAAACCAGCCTTCTGCCCTGCTCCTCCCTTGTGCTCCCATCCCCATGAGGCCCACCAGTCTTTGGGTGAGGTTCACCTTGCTAAGCAGAAAGTTGCTGGAGGTGCACCTGAGCTGGAATGGTGGGGTGTAAGGTCTGAGCAGGGCTGAGCTTGGGGTTCAGTTGTTGGGGATAGTCACTCACTTGCCTCTGTCCTTGGGCACAGAAGAAAGATCAACAGGAGCAGGAGTGGCTTCATCTTCCCAGGAAGGCCTCTCTGGTCAAAGAGGTTGGTGCATCCTCCTGGTCTTTAAACTCCCAGTGTTCTCTTCTGGTGTGTGGGGGCTTTTTCCTCTGAGATGATCTCAGCCTTCCATCACTGTCTGATCAAGATCTGATGGTTGAGTTAGACTTTAGCCATGGCTTAGCTCCCACCACTCTTGATTCAGTGCTGACCACAGAAGCAGAAAA